ACAGGCCGTCAGAGCCAGCACAGCGCCTCCACCCATCCAGGCGGTCACTCCGCGTGGAGGGTGCCAGGGTGGTGCTTGCGCCACGACGTGCCCTGCACCCCTCTGACCCCTGCGGTGACACAGCCCTTGCTGGATGCCACAACGCACCCTTTGCTGTGCACCACAACACCCCCCTTGCCACGCTCCCTTGAGGAGCCCACAGCACACCCCTTTCACTGGGCACTGGAGCATGTCCTTGCTGGGTGCCAGGATGCTCCTGTCTCTCTCTGGCCTTCACTTTAGCCGTGGCAGAATCCTGTCCATGTCTGTGGTGTCTTCCATATTGGGGTGTCAACGCGCTTGGCACACACCAGCGTGGGAATCCTGCCCTGGCCCTGTGTATCAAATTAAATAGTTGTATAACTGCATACAAAATATTATCACCCTCTCTCTTACTGTGATGCTGGGGTTGAAGGAGACTGATTTGTTACACAGCTGTTTAAAACAAATAGCTGAATAAGTAGGCAGGTAGGGGTTTTCTCATCTGCAGCATGGAGACTTGTTCATTTCAAAACTGCACCAAAGTCTAGACGATACTAACTCTCTTGCGATTACAAATGACATAGAAAGTAACCAGAACTGGAAGAAATGAGAAAAGCAAAACAACTTTCTCCTTTTTGTTTTTTCTCCTTTTGTTTTGAACAAGTCAACAGCAGGTGGTGCAGAGCCAGTTTCTCTTTTGTTCAGTTTCATTTCCTCTCTGACTAGCAAGTGATGACATTATCCTCACGTTCCAAGTGGAGTTCATACATATCCTTTCTCCCTAGTCCCTAAAATATGGCGTTTAACAGTCCCAAAATAAAAGGGAGCTGCTGGTATTTTACTATCTATGTAGCTGAAATTTGAAAGTAGTAAATAACTAGACTAGAGAATGCTGTGTTAGTGTGATAGTCAGCATTTTGGCCAACACATAATATTGAACTGGAAGGTCAGCAGTAGGGAGCCCTGCAGGGCTGGCAGGGCAGCAGACTGCCTGCGGCGAGTTGCTGGTGTGGCCGCCCAGCACACGGTAGCGGGGCTGCCCAGCAAGGCTGGGAAACTTGGCATCTGGCTGCCTGGCGGGGCTGGGAGCTGCAGCAATGGTAGTAGTGGTCCAGTGATGCTGGGAATTGCTGCTGTGGCAGCAGCCCAGTGGGGTCCGGAGTGGTGTCGCACAGTTGCCTGGGGGATCCAAGAGCCCCGGTGAATGGCTGCTGCAGGGGCCCAGAGTGGCAGTGTGCAGCTGCCCCTGAGGGGGAGGGGCAAAAGCCCTGATGTGTGAAGAGGGGGTGGCAAGAATCCTAGTACACAGCTGCCTGGGGGACCCGAGAGCTGTGGCGCACAGCTGCCTGGGGGATTGGCAGGGTGGCAGACATTGCAGCAGGTGGGGAGCCAGCTGGGAGCCCAGCAGGCAAGGCTAGAGCTGGAGGGGGACAGCGGCGGGGGGGCCAGAAATGACCACCCCTTGTCCAGCAAAATCCCTCATCTGGGACTGTTTAGGTCCCCATGCTGCCAGACCAGAGAGGTCCAATCTGTAGATACTTCCATGAGACATATGTTCCTCCCATTTATGTACTCTTGATGTCCACTTCTGTACCTGCATGCAAACTCCCATTTGGGATTTTTTGAATGTAACACAGAGACAAACATTAAAAATGGGGAACAACCAATTTAAAAAAAAAAGAAATATCTTTAGAAGGGAGCTGCTTTACTTCTTTTATCTGAAATTGACCAATTTTAGTTTAATGAATGGATCCTGGTAGTACCCTGGTGAAGTATAATTGCACAAGGAAACTGAATCACAGAAAGGTTTGGTGCCCAAAGTCACACAGCATCTGTGTCAGAGCCAGGAACAGAACCCAGGTTCCCTGACTCCCGGTGCCAAGTATGAACACTTACAAGAAAGTTTCCTTCATTATTATTTTGCAGTTTCATTTTACACTATTGGAATGCTCTTTTCAGTCTGCAGATAAATACTAAATATTATTTGCTAATGTAGGAATTTTTTTCTTCATAGTGCTTAGCAAAGTGGAGGTAGTTCTGTGATTTAGATAATGCTGAACAGTGTTCTGTGTATGGGTCTGTAAGAAGACAAACTCTCCCTAAGGAGCTTTCTATCTAAGAACTATTTCCTGCAGCTGGCTCCACACAGGTAGACACATGTACTCTGGCAGATCCAGTTCCAGGCTGTAGCCCTAAATAGACAGCATACAGGAGCTGGAGATAGATAGTACAAGCCTCTTTCTCTTTTCTTCTATTATCCCTTCTTTGTGTGGCATTTGTTTTTATCTGGGCTTTTTTGGTCATAGTTAGCCTTTATGTAAGGGATGTCAATGTGGAGCCAAGTACACGATTACCCAATGAGCCTGGGCATATGGTTAATCCTATTGACTACACACACTTCCCCCTCCCTGCAGCTGCCTCTGTGTCAGGGGC